ATTTTTTTTAATATTTGCTATAAAAATTCTTTTATAAACTTTCAAGTACCTTAAAATTAATCTCTCCTCAATACTTAATTTACATATAAAATAACATCTGTTTACTCCTAAACCAATCCTTAAGTTCCTCAAGACATGTGATTCCCGATTTAGTTATGAGTTAGATCCTAAATTAGTGTAAATTATTTTTTATGAATTGTATCTTCAAATCTCACAAAATTTTTTAAATTTTTATTCATTTAATATATATTAATTTCTTTTCCGTTCAAAAAAAATCCTAAAGACATGTTAGGAGATTAAAAAAAAAAAAGAACTATCTGTAACGGGCCCAATAATTGATTGCCTTTTTTTCCGAAGAAAAAAAAAACTTTTTATATAAATTTTTTATAATATATTATTAAATAATTAATTTTTTAATTTATATAAAATTTATAATATTAAATACAATCACTAATCTAACGAAATACATGAGAATTATATAAAAAAAATTCACCCTACCGCACAAAAAAAAAGTGAAAAAAGAGTACAAAATCCGTGTAGGACAGAGGATGGTCCCCAGGCCATCCAGTACTCGCCTGCGGCATCTCTCCACGTGCTATTGTGCACAGCAGTGACCGACCCCACCCTAATTAGGACAAGGTGGGCCCGAACTTCCCTGAACTAAACACCCAGCCCACCCTTATAAACCCCCGGTACCCAGTCCTATCTTCCCTCAACCACCTCAGTCCTCTCCCCTCCCCCCTCATTTTGCTAATAATATAATTCCTCTAATAACTCTTCTTTTCTTTTCTTTTTTCTTTTTTTTTTTTCTTTATAATTTTATCTAAGCTAATCTGCCTCTAGCTGTGCTAGTGAATATATTTCATCCCCAACCACTCCTAACCAAAAATAGCTACCACTCCGTACATATAAAATTTTAGAAATTTAGTGAGTGATTTTATTTATTTGACTTTCCAATTCCTTCCTTACCCTCTACTGTTTTCTGAAGAGAGTGCCACAGTCTTTGCTTTTATAGCTAGCTTCCTTGTTTAGTATTTCTATCTTTCTTTCCTGACGTCCCTCTTTCTCAGCCATGGATGAACTTATCATCTCTCCTTCTTCATCGTCTTCACTGGTTTCTTTGTCCCATGAAACTCCGGCGACGCTGACTATCCAACAGAAGCTCCAGTTTGTGATCCAGAGCCAGCCCGATTTGTGGGCTTATGCTATTTTTTGGCAGACGTCGAACGATGATCATGGCCGCATCATTTTGGGTTGGGGAGATGGCCATTTTCAGGGGAGTAAAGATGCCTCTCCGAAGCTGAGTGCATCTGTTGTGGATATTCCGGGGATAAACTCTGAGAGAAGGAAGGTCATGAAAGGGATCCAAGCCCTCATTGGAGAGAACCACGAGCTCGATATGTCGATGATGGACGGCAGCGACGTCACTGACGCCGAGTGGTTCTACATCATGTCCTTGACGCGGTCTTTCTCTGCCGGAGATGGCATTCCGGGTAAGGCTCTCAGTACTGGATCTCTTGTGTGGCTCACGGGTGCACATGAATTGCAGTTCTACAACTGTGAGAGAGCCAGAGAAGCCCAAATCCACGGCATTGAGACCATCGTTTGTATTCCGACCTCTTGTGGGGTGGTTGAATTGGGTTCTCTGGAAATCATCAGGGAAAATTGGGGTTTGGTACAGCAGGTGAAATCCATGTTCGAGTCAGATCTCATCGGCTTGGTACCGAAGCAATCGAATCTCAACCCGAATTTAACACCGACACCGATCCAATTCCTTGACAGAAACATCTCTTTTGCCGATATCGGCATAATCGCCGGCGTAGAAGAGGAAGATGCAACCTATGAAGATAGAACCAAAGAAAATCACACCCATCTCAAGAAAGAATCCATAAAAACGGGACAACCGTGCTATGTGGACTCTGAGCATTCAGATTCCGACTGTCCTTTAGGAGCTGCTAACAACATAGAGAAGAGAACTCCAAAGAAGCGTGGGAGAAAACCGGGGCTTGGCCGCGAGACGCCGCTGAACCACGTGGAGGCGGAGAGGCAGCGGCGAGAGAAGCTGAACCACCGATTCTACGCGCTGAGAGCCGTCGTCCCCAACGTGTCGCGAATGGACAAGGCATCCCTCTTGTCCGACGCCGTTTCCTACATCAACGAGCTCAAGGTAAAAATCGAAGAACTTGAATCTCAACTGCAGAGGGAGTCCAAGAAAGTGAAAGTGGAGATGACGGACACCACAGATAATCTCAGCACTACCACTTCCGTTGATCAGACCCGTCCTAGCAACTCCTCCGGCGGCAGCAGCAGCAACAGTAGCCTTGAAGTGGAGACCAAGATCGTGGGAAACGACGCCATGATTAGGGTTCAGTCGGAGAATGCAAACTATCCTGGCGCTAGATTGATGGGTGCGCTACGGGATCTGGAGTTGAAGGTCCACCATGCGAGCATGTCGTGTGTCAACGAGCTTATGCTTCAAGATGTAGTGGTTAGGGTTCCTGATGGGCTTAGAACCGAAGACGGACTCAAATCTGCTCTCCTCGGAAGACTAGAACAGTAAGATTAAACTAGTTTAATCAATTAATTCCTCATAATATTAGCAAAATGCGTGTGTATTTCCTAGTAAATCTTAGTTTCTAAAGTCTTTTATATATCAGAGCTGATACGATCAATATTATTGTAATCATAAGGAGATAAAAAGATCGAGCAGCTCTTGAGCAGATTAATGTTCAGTGACTTCAGTCCATGGATCAATCTTTAAGCCTAAATAAGAATTGCAAAGTTTTCTTGTAATTGTTTATGTTCCTCAAATTACCGGCAGTCTCCAGTCCTCCTCCATAGGAGAGAAACACAATTCTACTTAAAGTGGACATGCAAGAGAGAGCCATAAGGGGGATATGCATGCTATTGGATTCTTGTCCTAAAATATCATCCAATGGTTGTTTCTTATTTGTGGATGAGATGAAATAGAACGAAGTGCTGGGTGCGGGGAATATTTGGCCCACGCACCACCAAACCACTTATTAAATTTAGCTGCACATGTAACATGTGTTACCTGATTTTCAGGACCAGTTTGGCTGAAGTTATTCTCAACCTTCATTTTGTTAAAATTATTTATCGTACCTGCTAAATTTACTTATTGTATCTATAATATTATTAGTTTATTATAATTTTTTAAATAGTTAATTATAATATTTTAAAATATTTTTTATAAATGAATTTTAATATATATTAAATAATACATATTAATTATTTTATTAACTATCAATTCTTTGTATCAATCAAATTAAAATAAAAATTTGATAGTTTAAGTGGTCTTAACAAATTTAATTAAGGGTGGACTTAACCAAAGCCATGTTGTTTTGTAGTAGCATAAAAAAATCCAATAACCTTCTTGTATTTGTTGTTAATAAGCAAGTATTTATAAGATAGATTTAAATTATTAAAAAAATTATTTTTTAAATATATTAACTTGATGTAGGGTATATTTAAGGGGAATCCCCAAATCAAATAGTACTTGTATTGATTTAAAAAAAATTAATTTTTTAAATATATTAAATTAATGTAAAGTGTACTTTTAAAATTACTAAAAAATTAATTTTTGTATTACATAAAAATTAACTTTAAAACATCTTATTATGAATAAAAAAATCTAATAAAATAATCGTACGTGTGTGGTAGACAAGGCCTCAAAGGCACCTCTCGCATTTTATAAGGGAATCCTCAAATTGAGTACTTTTTGTAACCATTTTTTAATAAGTTAAATTGATATAAAATGTATTTTAGAATTATTTAAAATAATTTTTATATTATATAAAAATCAATTCAATAATATCTTCTCATAAATTAAGAAAACCCCATAAAATAGTCGTACGTGTGTGGTGGACAAGACAGCGAAGGCACCTATAGCACGTTATAGAGGGGGGAAAATCACCCAAATCGGACAGGGCAAGTGCACGGACCAGTTTTACTCCACCGGGACCTAGTTCCTTAAAAACGGTGAATGTGAACTACCCATCAACGTACGCTACATGGTGGAACCCGGCGGCTGAAAATTGGTTAATCTAACGTAATATTATGTACCTGCAGTAGTTGGATAGGGTAC